TACCATATTGAAATCAAATCTGATGTTGTTGTTTTTTAATTTTTATTTCGTGTGCATTGGAAGAGGGGTCATCTTATACGGTGAGTATATCCCAAATTCTGTTTTAACTGGAAACGTTGTGGGGTCATCTTATACGCCCAGTCGTCATATACACCAGAAAATACGGTAACTCAAAAGCTCTGTCTTTAGTAATATTGTCTGTAGTTTGGAAAAAATTCTATTTTCTTTCCGATCCAATTATTACCTGAGCTCAGAAAATGTACTTTGGTGGACTATAGCTCAGAGAATCCCACCATGGCGAATGGCTATAGTGATTGGAGGATTCTCAGCTGTAATCAGTTATGTGTTTTAATTGTTTTTAAATGAATGCCTTAAAGTAATTGTGAAGCAAGAATTTGGGCAAGCATGGATAGAAACTACAGGAGGGTCTCCAAAAGAATGCGACCCTTATAAAGCTGAGAGAAAGCAGTTCTTGATACGAAATGTAAAATGATATAGAATATAATGCTAGAGAGTGAACTGAACTAGCTAAAGAGATCTTGTAGCACCTTTGTGACTAACTGAAATAAAGAAGTTGATAGCATGTATATAATAATCTTAAATAAATTAAATAATCAAAAGTACTACTCATCCCATGTGCGCGTGCACGCACACACACATTCAAGACAGGTCCAAACACTGCCTTTTTAAACTTACAGCTCAGGCCATGTTTACTTACTAAATTCTCCACATCCGGCAACTGCCAATAGTACAGAAACCTTTCCAACCTTTCTATACAAAACACAATAAATAGATTTCTTTCATTCTGGTGTGCAACTTTTTAAAGCTGCCCTTTAATTTTTATCTCCTCCGAAGGGTTGATGAGATTCAGAGGTAGAGATATCAATGCGATAAAGTTTAGAGGTAGATCTTATAACTATCAATCATCTTGAGCCCCAGCTTTGAAGAAAATAACAGTTAAGGAACGCAGATTGCAATGTTACATTGCATCAGCATCACTGATTATGTAAGGCTACAGACATGGGCTTAAAACCCACTAAAACAGTCAGTGGGTTTTAGCTCCTTTAGCAAATCATTCATGGAAAATTCTTCCTGGCAGTCATTTGCCACGGCAGTCCTGTGACAGACTGTTCCCTTCTCCCCATCATAAACAACTAGTTCAAAAACTCAGTCATGGGCAATGTCAAACGCTCTAGCTGTTGCTGGACTCCAGCTTCCAGCAGTTCTAGGTTGCTGCCGCCAAATGCAGAATGCAGTTCCATCCTATGGAATCCTGGGATTTGTAGTTTGTTTGAGCACCAGAGCTCTCTGACAGAGAAGGCTAAATATCCCACAAAACTTCAAATCCCAGAATCCCAAAGCATTGAGCCAAGACAGGTAAAAAATGCCAAACTGCATTAATTCTACAGTATAGATGCAGCCTGAGGGGGGAAGCAGACGGGCGGCCCTGGGCCGCCCCGGGAAGCTGC